AGCAATTCATGCATATGAACCAGAATAACATGCAGGTAATGTCTATAAAACATGCCTGCTCTCCTTCTCCTACATCAATACAGTGGAGGTGACAGAGGACCTGGATGAAAATGAGCTTTTCTTGAATGAGCTGTCTGATATATCTCTGACAAAGGGAAGGTGCATTCCAGGTACACACTTTTTCATCAGCTGTAAGGCTCGTTTCATGAACTTCTGTCCTACAAAGGCGTAAATGATGGGGTTCAGGCAGCAGTGAGTGTAAGCGATGCACTCGGTCACTGCTATTGACATCCTTAAAGCTCCGTCAGTGGTGCAGTCGCTGGAGAATATGTCCTCAGTCTGCAGGAATCTCAAGAAACGGGAAATGTAATATGGAGCCCAGAACAAAAAAAAGACAGTCACTATTAAAATGATCAGCTTGACAACGCGGTGCTTCTTTGCAGTCCTCATATTCACCAATGTGGGGATGATCCTGGAGTAGCAAACTATCATCACCAACAAGGGAACCACAAGACCCAATATAAATGCTGAGAACAGGGTATAATTATTCCAGGCCTTATTTTCTGGGTTGTAGCTACATCCAGGGCTTTCCGGATCATCTGTCGTCACCTTTGTGAAGATAAAAGTTGGTAAAGAGACCACAAGACTCAGCAGCCAGACAGCCACAGTCAGAGCGATACCTGCCCTCAGAGTGCGATATCTTGCCACCTTGTGAGCGTGCACAATGATCATGTAGCGGTCCAGCGTCATGACAACCATGAAGAAGATGCTGGTGAAGAAGCCGGTGTAGTGGCAACCAGAGAGGAGATGGCACAGAAAATCACCGAAAACCCATTTTTCAACCACAGAGTAATGAGAGTGGAAAGGCAACGTGAGGACGAAGAGGATGTCGGAGACAGCCAGGTTCAAAAGACATATGTCTGTCAAGTTGGACTGGTTGCGGTGCTTCACCAGGACACACACCACTAGGGCATTACCTTGAGGGGTGGGGAGAGTGTTAAATCTGTCAGATGAATCAAATTACTATACTGTATGTGAAGTAATGTTCTCTCTCTCACTCTCTCCCTTTCTTTCTCACACACACAC